TATGTAACACATCTCTGTTTATATGGCAATTTTATGTTTTGATTAGAGAGAGTCTAAATTGATATGTATTTGATTACCTTGTATCCTTATAAAAGTTTGGTTAGGATTTTGCTTATATTTTAACTAAAAACATGATAATTCAAAAGATGTAATTTGCAACCTCTTCCTACCTTTATCTACTGCCTGGAATAGTTTTGATGTCCCCAAGTACTATACCAGCATAGTATGTCAAACACATTATGTAGTTACCATGACACAATTCTGACTTCAATTGCAATGCAGACTTCAGTTACAATGAATCTACTTAACGTGTTTGAGGACAAAAAAATTTGGCAGGGTTGCACTGATTTGAAAAAATAACGCATACACACATATGCTGAGGCTGCGAATGAGTTTCTTACAGCAGTTGTCATCCCATGTTGGTCCAGCAGTCCACATTAGCAGGATTTAGAGATCTCTGGCCAGCTCTTAGTGTATAAATGTACAATGAATTCAACCAAAACTAAACAGAAATCTTATCTGCACTCCACAGAAGCATCATAGACCAGACTCACTTTTGTCACATATTTTCCCCTCTGATGTGTGGCTAAAATTTAACCCAGAATCGTTAACCTGATAAAGTCCTTGAGCCCGAAAGTTACATCACACGTTTAAGAACTGGGTTGGATATAAGAATGTTTGGAATAATTTTAACTGATTGTAGCGAGTGATTCATAAATTTAGTGAGCACCCTGTGTACTTCATATTACTTCCCTTCATATTATTAGTGGAATCATATATACACAACCAAGAGATAAATCATTATATATTTTGCTGTAAAATATAATTTAACACAGACAGGGACACTTGTGTTTAGCAGCAGTTTCTACTGAACAGGAGCCAAGTACATTTCCTTCTTGGCCTCCTTTCCCCTCTCTGTTTCAATTTTGTGCAGTATCAGTTAATCTCTTGTAGTTTCTTTCTTGTAATATCACATAGTATCTAAAGGAGTACCCCTAAATTAGCTTTTCTCCTCACATAAATAGTTGTTTTCAAAAACAGGTAGGTGCATGTTTTATATGCCTAAGGAACAGAAGGAATGTTATTGCTTAGAATGTTATTCTACAGCTTATTCAATTATTCCCATGCATACACTTGAGAGCTCTCCAAAGAAATATGCCCATGTGACATGAAATACATGCCCAGTTTACAAGAACAGAGTTCACCAAGAAAAAAAAAAAAACACAAAAACTTGTGTTTTTTCCACAGTGTTGAAATTTTGCTTTCTTTTTTAATAAATTATTAAGATGCACTAGGGTATAAGTCCCAAATCCCCTCCATCAAAAAACCCCACAACATCAAACACCAAAAAAAGCTACATCTTGCAAGAACTGGGCACATGTTGCTTCTCAACATGGAACCTGCTGAAAGATGCTGTGGACCTCTGACCATGGCCTTGAAATCACAGTATGGAAACCACTACTCTGGACATCTGACACAGCTCTTCATCTGTTTAGGTGCAGAAGTCTGTTTCAGTTATATCTGAGAGGAATTTGCTAATGTAACAGACATAATTTTATCTTTATAACCATGTAGCCAAGTATATTTCCATTACTGCTTTTCTATAGTATCCAAAAAGAAATTCTAAGCTGGCAAACTGTGCTTTCAGTGATCTGTGTGTAATCTAATAAAGCAGCTGTGCTCAGCAGGAGCAATGATTTTGTCAGAGCTAAGCAAAAACTCTTCAGAGCTCTGATAAAGCCCTTAAAAGAGAAGATTCTAAAACAAAAGATGAATTTCCTTTAAGGAATCAGGGTAAGGCCAAAGATCCAATACTCAGGATCAAATTAACTGATGAGGGGAAAGAGAAGGCAAATTTTAGTTCATACGTCACGTAAGGGGAGAGGCGACCGCCCTCTGCTACAGGAAAGACAAATGGACCACCCTATTTCTTTCTGTTATTTCACAAGATTTTGCAGGACTATGGAAACGATCCTTTAAAACATAAATATACCTACATTAAACCAAAATTTTTCCAGCAATCTCTAATACAAATTCTGTTATTACGAGAAATACATGTATATTTTCTATCACTAAAGCAACTACACATGTTCTACAACTAATATGCTGCAAGAAAGATTTAAGAAAATGTTAACAAATTTAAATAAATTGGCACAATTGACAAGTTTTACATACTTTGAAGTCTGATTCAGTGTTTAAAGAAAGAAAAACCTGCAAAGCAGTTTGGCTTTCAAGGGCCACACTGAGAGAGTTTCAAAAACTTTATGTGAAATCGATCCTTGCACAAAAGATTTCAGACCTTTAATGGAAATTATTAGCTGTAGCAATAATAGTTTTAAACCACAATAAGCAACGAAAAAGATCTGCCAAATTAGAACAACACACACTGAGTTTTAGCAGAAAGACTGGGGATAAGAAACATAGAAAAGACATAGTTTATTCCTTCTGAAACCTTCATTAAAACATGTAAGCTATTAGCCCTAACAAGACAATTAAGAAATCTATGACATATTAGTGCATGGCTGCCAAAAAATTAAATATCTATATGGACAATCCCACAGGATTTTTCATCCATTCCATTTTGCTTATTTATGTTAGTTTCCTGGAGCAAGGACTTTTAATTCTGTACATGGACACTACTCGTATTTTACCAATAAATAGTCGTCACAGCAGTACACTCTTGTTTCAGAAATTGGTAAAAGGAAGAAAAAAGGAATAAAATTATTTTAACGCTACTAATAGTTACATAGCATAGTCTTTCATTTTAGTGCTAAAAAGACAGAGAGCTCCACCCAAAAATACCTCCAAAACCTGAACTTTTATTACTTTTCCAGGTATCTGTTGGTTCTTTGCAGCTATATTGTTCACTTTTGCTTGCCAACCAACATTTTCCACAACAGCAGCAATTGTCATCACCACTACTATTTATAATATACATATTATGTAGAACAGGACAGCTTCTAATCCCTGCTGAATTGCTGTAATTCTGGAGGGATTTTATTAAGTCAATAGATTTGATGTCACCAAGACCATGGTTTGGCCCCATTCTTTCTCATGTCATTTAAGGAACACTACAGCTTTCCAGCAGAGTGGCATGCATTTTACACATTCTGTTCTTTACAGAGAGGCACATTTTAACCATGCCACTGTTTATATGCACTGCTGAATCTGAAGCAGGTGACCTAATTTATTGTAACAGAATGCAAGGCCCAAGAGTCTGACTCCAAACTGCCACGTACTTTTATGGGCTGGACCAGAAAATGTCCCAAGTTTCTTGCATCATTTAATGTCTTGAAAAGGTTCTTTCAGCCAGAGCTGCCAGAATTGTTTGCATCCTGCACATGCCAAAGTGAATAGGGATCCAGGATTTTCCAAATGCAGGGACCACAAATTGCTTGGCTTTTGAAAGAAAGAAATAATTTAATCTATACATTTTGATTTATATCGAGTGCTAATTCCTTTCATACATTTTCCACTAGAGGCTATAAAAGCAATTTAAAAAATCATAGGGAAAAAAGGCAAGCTGAGAAACGTGTCACCTTTTAGTTTCTCTACATAACACCTTGCTATTGCATTCATTTTCTAGAGACAGGGAGTTTATTTCTTAAAGTAATAAGTTCACCTAGGGTATTTGCTGGGGACACTAAAATATTCAGGAGGGGCTGCTATTTAATCACATTTTAGAATTTAGGATTTTAGAAAGTTTGAGAGTCTTGTTCAGTAAGGCGTGAATGTGGGTACTTCTCTTTGCTGTTCCACACCCATGTTTTTTGGTGGACTAGATTTCCAGAGCTGTGGTTTTCAGCCTTCAGTTGCAGAACCCCAAGTGTCTCAAGACCGCATCTATTACTTTTGAGAAAGATGAGTAAGACGGGGAAATCTGTTGTCATTTGGCTTAAATTTGTTCTATAGGAATTGAAAACCAATGTTTTTAAGTTAACAAAGGACAGATTGCAAATGGTACTTTATGAAATTTTATATATTTAAAGGATTATGTTTTGTTTGGAGAAGAGTTTCACTGATAAAACTTGGCGCTCCCCTCTCTGTCACCCATTCTCCCATGTTCTGGCTTGCTTTCTTCTTCTTTCTTCCCAATACATCTTCTGCAGTACCTTTCACATTCCTCATGTTCACCTAGGTTAGGTGACCTTTATGGGGAGGCAGGCAACTTAACATCTCCCAGTGGCTGGAGAGAGATATCTGAATAGATCTACTATTGAGGTGTATCATGAATCCCTAATGATGGGCTGTGTCCAAAGCCCCATCCATGCTGTGTTTTCATACTCTGACAATTACTTTAAATAATAAGCAAAAGAAAATTATTCTAAGTCACAAACTGTTAGCAGATGAAAAAGTTGACCAGCAAACTGCCTGATGATGTACAGGCAATGATCAACAAGAGAGACATGAACCTTATGTTTTAAAATATGACAGCCATGAGCTAAAACTGCTAGATCCTGTCCTCTTTTTTTTTTAGCAAAAGAGGAAAAATGAGCTACTCATTATAAAGAAAATTAACCTGACAAAATGAAGACATTAGCATCAATAATGTAATGACAAGCCTCATTTCAATAGCCACTGATTTCCATTCAATCATCCTTACACACAGCATATACATATAGACAGCTAAAACTTGCTGGCATCGTAAAAGGAAGCTTTGACAGAACCTCCATGGACCAATATGTATTTTCTCTAAACAGTGAAAATAAGGTCCTTTTTCCAAAACAGTCCTGTAGTAAATATTTATTTCATATCACTTACATAAAACAGATCTACTACCCCAAAAGTAAACACCTTCTTTCAACAGCTGCTAACTGGTCAACAAACTTTCTCATATTCCTGCTTGCAAATAGCAATCTCCTTTTTATTACAAACTATCTCAGCCAACGTTTGTCCAGCTGCTTATGCCTTTTATAATTTGTATTTCCAATGGCTTTTGGTGGTGATGTGTAGTTGTTTTTCTGTGGGGTTTGGGGTTGGTTTTTTTTTTGGTAACTTACCTAGTAGATATTGTGAGTTAACATCCCTTCTTCGGAGAAAGTGTCCTCCAGGGAGATCTTTTGCCATGACAGAGACCGTAGAAAGCAGAGTGTGTCCGAATAGCAGAAAGAAGCATGCAATCATTTTCTTCATCTTCGGGAAATAGACAGACATTCAAGGATGTGAAACTGCAATAAAGGAGAGATGAGCGATTTGATTACACAAAAAGATACACTGTCCGCCACCCAGCTGCATTGCTTCCCTCCCAGCACATACAAACATGCAGATACACTGGCATGGAATAATACCTACACCTACAAAAAAAGATCTACATAATAAAGTAGCAGCTAGCAGACCCTGCATAGCGTTTATAAGTATTGTCAGTTGAAGTTCACAGTTAACATTTAAAATGTATCAACTTTTACAATCATTCATAATAATCATGTATTTTTAAAGCAAGAAAAGGAACTTTATTTCAGTCAGCCTGTCAGCAAAAACAGGTTTGAAGAGGACAGAAATATATTTTCGGTATTCTATTCAGCACTCCGTTGCATTTTTTCAGAAGTTTAATGGTTCTTGTAGTCTGAGGGATACCTGCTTCAGAAAATCTTGGAGAATTAAAACAAGAGAAGGGAATATATTCCAGAAACAGCAACTATACATGTGAACCAGTAACAGCTCATGCTTCCTTTTCAGAAGACTGTCTGTGGTTGCTAGCATGAAGATAACACTGCAGGATGAATCTTGTTTACTCAAGGAGACTTCTGAGGACTGGCAATGAGCTTGCCATAGGTTATGGATTTTTGTCATACAGAAGAACAAATTGACAGGCAGAAGTCCAACACTAAGAGATGACTCCTGCCCAGAGTTTGTTAACACACCATCAAAAGCCATGGCCGACTGCCCACAAACAGAAAGCTAAGACTGACATGCTAAAAGCTCATCTTCTGGCCATGTCCATTGTTGGTGGGCTTCCTCAGATGGCGATTCCTTCTACTTCCCCCCAAAACTTTACTGTTGTGAGTTGTGAAGAGAGCATCTCACAGGAGCTAGATTCAGCCTTGGAACTGGTGATATGATGAAGTTTGAAGAGCTCCTCTAGGTGCGCAGGAGATGGATAAAACTACTGACTTTCACAACAAAGAACTGTTCTACCTGAAACTGAGTGGAAATTTTAGAAGCAGTGCAAATTTTAACAGTAATTCTTCGTTAAGTAACTAAGATGTTGAAAACAATTTTAACAGGGTCTTAAACCTGATAAGCGGATAGAACCACAGATCTGTAACAGAAGGCAACTAAATGCCCCAGTTCAGAAAGAGAATTGATTTTTTTCCCACCACGAGGTACTCACTGGCAGAAAAGAAAATTCTGAGTAAATATTTTCTCTCTAATAAAAAGATTTTATACATTATTCTTTAGTCTGTCCTGCACAACTGTTACACAGTGATCTATTTTTCTGTCCATCAATCTATTTTTCTGTCCATCAATCTATTTTTCCTTTTGTGTCTTCTACTCAGCATCCCCAAATGTAAACACAATGTTCTGGTGTATATGCGAGAGAGCAAAATGAACTGATTCTTTGCACTCAAAATGCCTGGCCTTGCTTAAATGTTCAGTATTATCCAGTAACAGTCAATATGTGATTTAAGGACATTCAAACTAGGAAAGAGATGTAAATAGTTGGTGCTTATAACAGTGGCCACAAAAATTTAAATTTTTGGAGCCCTAGCAGCAAGGACACCTAGATGGCATTATTGGTAGAGTATTTCTAGTGCTTTAGTCAGAAACAGATGGACACTGCAAACAGCATGCACCACTGAAAATGGGACAAAATTTTGCTGGACGCAACAGTTGTTACTGCTGGAGATTACCGACGAAAGCTTCTCCCAGGTTGTCTCCTTACTTCTCAGAGCATCGTCAACAAACACAGGGCTGTCTGTGCAAGGGGGCCTCCTCTCTCTCTGGCCTGTTCCTTCAGCACACAAGGCAAATGGACCTCAAAGATACATGCCAGTTCTAGCACCAATGTTTTAGAAACATAGAAGCCAAGCTCAGAGAGCTAAGGAGTGTAGAGATATTCCTTACAAGGCTGTCACAGGAACCAGGCATGAACAGCTTGTTCAAGAGTGCTATCTGGCTGTTACCTAGTTATCAGTGGCATAACTCATCCCTCCTTCCTATCCATCCTAAAGAGCTGTGAAGATTGGGCTAATCTCTAAGTAAAGCCATTTTACCTGCTCCTGATGGCAAGTTAGTGGAGAACCAAGGATACTGCGGCAGAGCACCTTCACAACCTGTTGCTGAACCATCCAGTAACAGCATGATGCCAAAGGAAACTGATAAAGTGACTCAGGACAGTCCTACCAGCTCTGCAAAGTATCCCAAATTAAACCCTCTTACCTTCTGGCACTTGACATACTTTATAACTTTGTAGCAATTTTTGATATTTGGTCACAATTTCAAATTCATTAGGTTCACAACTGTCCCCAGGCAAGTTCATAAATATGAAAAAAAAATTGTTTGTTTGCTGTGACTTTAAGCCTTTGAATTCTGTTAGAAAAATGTTTATATAGCATGCAAATATCATATGATTAGCTGACCATATAAACCAAAATGCCTGCATAATCATTCATTAGCTGTCACTGAATTCTGAAACATATTAAAGCAGTAAATTTTCAATTTTGCGTGATTTTACCAGTCCCTTTGAAAAGTAAGGTTGGCGGTACTAAAGAAACAGAAGCATTGAATAACAGTGCCTAGTTTTCTGGGGATCTTTTTATTAAAACTTAACATAACTTCTATTGTTCAATAGTACTTCATCTTGATTCAGAAACCTTAGATCCTTAGATCTCAATATCTTTATCCTGATAACCTTATCAGAAAATAAGCCTACTTACAATTCCACCAAAAAAGATCCAATTCTCATTAAAAAAAAAATTTAAAAAATGTATTTATCAACACACTCCTACCCTCACAAACAGTGTTTTAAAATACTGTTTCAAAAGAAAGAAATGTTTAACAGAGGAGAGCTTTAGTTGCCTCATCTTACGATTTTTATATATAAGATAATATAAAATAAAAATTAAAGTGAGTTTGCATCCATTTTCAATGAGAAAATAAACAAGTTCCCAAAGCCAAAGGCTGTGTATGCGATAACAGACACCACCGATACAAGCCTGTTGCCACCCTTTCATCCACACTAAAAGCTTCTGTGCTGCTTTCCTGAGGTGATGACAGTCTGGACTTGTGTGCTTTGCTCTAGCTCCAGGTACATATTTGTGTCCAACACTGCTTGCATTTTTACATGACCACTTTGTATTGTGGTTGCATGGCTCTTCAGCATACAGACCTCCCACAGTTCTTTGTTTATTTTCTGGGTCTTCTGCAAGGTCCCCTGTCTTCACTCTAGAAGCTGGCTGGTGTTTATTGCACCACATTCGGTATTTAGCACCTCATTTTCCCAGCAGGCTAAGCCAGGCTGTTGGCACAGTTCTTTGTAGCTTCATATTGCTGGCTGACCCTTGCTCTACCAGCTGAGAACACATTCTGAAAGTACCAAACTTGCAAACACATATTTTTGTGGCTACCTGGAAAATATGTTTCAAGCACCTTGATTCCAGCTGTCGCAGCAGGAATATTCAGCATTATACCATCAGGAGCCAACTCCCCGGGGCAGAACCAAGACCAATTCACTGTATCACAAACATCCCAAACACCTCAAAAGCAGAAGACACCAAGAGGAAGTGGGGCAATCCATGGGGCTCAACCAGGTTGAGCACCAGATGCACCAGCTTCCACTGCTCCATTCTTCTACCCACGGAGAGAGGAAGAAGCGGGTCCTATGCAGGGCTTTCACAGCAACCTTGGAACAGTCAGTGAAGCACACTGCTCTGCTGGACATGTGAAGAAACTCCTAACAGAGAACAGGTAACTGCTGCTCACAGAGGTACAATCTGGTGAGGGTTGCTTCCAATAGCTGCAGCTGTCTTGAAGGTGGTTGGTATAAAGGAGGAGATTATCCTAGAAGATGGCAAGTAGATAGATGGGCTCTCTGGTTCTTTTCAGGCTTCCCTTGCTCCCTAACTGGCTGCTAGCCAAGAGCTAAATATTTCCATGGTGTTTTTCTTATCAATTTTATCTGTGCTTGCTTAACCATATACCCATGCAACAGAATAACTTTTCTGATGCACTGTTACGGATTTTCAATTTTCATGAACTACAGTGTAAGAATACTGAAAAATGAAATTGGGACTTCATCTTTAAATGACCCATTTCCTTTGTTGCACAGCACTCAAACAACAGAAGCCTGTTTCTACCCTTTCAAATGTCTTTCCATTGAAGTCTCCTCATAAGGGATTGATGGATGTTTTGGACAGAGACAGTACTGAATATTCAGTGTCAGTAGTGATAAATCAATGACCTTCTCCACTGCATGGTGCATGTTATTAAGATTTGTCCTCTTCACTGTGATAACTCTTAAATAATGTCAAGGGAGAAGAGATGCTCTGTGGCTCATGCTGAAGTCAGTGTCCTTCCATCTTTTAGCCCACTTCAGGGAAATTTCTTTCACACAGATTTGGGAAACCCTTCCACTGGCCTAGAAGGCCACCTTTATTTCATTCAAGTACCTTAGAAATGTACCTGTCCTTGCTGGGCAGATCATGCTGAAAAAGAAATTGGAAAACCAGGGTAGTAATATGTTTCAGCTCATGCCTCCTACTCCTCTGGGTGGTCTCCTTCCTCATCTTGCAGTACAAGTTCCCTTCCAAGGCTAAATAAGAAACATGAACTCCACAAACCCCTATGTCTCCACCTTCTCCAGCTGCCACCAAAACTGGCACAATGCACAGAAGGGTAAATTCTCAGCAGTTACCTGGAACATCAACACCTTTAATAACTGCAGATAATATCCCCTCTCTTGAACCCATATAATTTCTCATCATAGATGGGAAGGAAAGAGAAGACAAAAAAAGCACCAAAGGCAGCAGTTATTACCACTACAGAGGCTGCCTTCAGCTTTCCTTGTTTGATAGTTAAAAAGAGACAGCCATTTACTTTCATTAAGCTGCCAGCACATCTAACTTCAGTGGTTTTAAGTTATAAAGAATGTAAGTGCATAAAAGGGAAAACATTCTGAAGTTCTTTCAGCACTC